GCGCGTAAGATAAATATAAAACGGGTTTTTAGACGATTTTTCTTATTTGTAGAATGTCTGATAGCGAATCCGAATATATGGGTTTATCTGAAAGCGGCTCGGAGAGCTATGTCCCGAGCATAGATGATTCAACCAGTTCCACTGAATCTGGAGATGACCCTCGCACCTGGTGTGACGTTGATGTCCATAACTTTCCAACGCCTCCTCCACGGTTTCCGTTTACTGGAACTCCTGGATGTCGCTTCTCTATAAATCAAGTTACTGAACCATTAGATTATTTTAAATTATTTTTTGATGACGAATTAGTAAATTTGATAACTTGTGAAACAAATAGATACGCGATGACGAAGCCACAGACATCCAGGAGCCAGTGGAACCCTATTTCCATACAGGAAATGTTTATGTTTATTTCTGTAATTCTTTTGCAAGGAATTATTCATAAACCGGATGAGAGAATGTATTGGACCACGAACGAAACACTTGCCACTCCAATTTTTCGAAAAATAATGTCTAGGAATCGTTTTTGGCAAATAAAACAAAATTTGCATTTTACAGATAACCAAAATTATAATCCGCGAACTCATCCAAACCCTAAACTAAATAAAATTTGGCCAATAGTTCAAAATTTATGTTCAAAATTTTCGCGTCTGTATGTCCCAGAAAGGGATATAGTGGTGGATGAGAGTTTGATGCTGTTCAAAGGACGTCTTTCGTGGAGACAATACATGCCTCTCAAACGGTCTCGTTTCGGTGTGAAATTCTACATGTTATGCGAGTCCGTATCTGGCTATTTGTACAATTTTATAATTTATACTGGAAAAAATACAGTTTTCAATGAAAAATATAGAGATATGCCTGTAACTTCAAAAATAGTGTTATCATTAGCGGACTCGTTGTTAGGCAAGGGCTATTGTCTAACAACAGATAATTTTTATTCTTCCCCACATTTAGCTGATTATCTGGTTACCGTCCAAACAGATTTCTTTGGAACTGTGCGGACGACCAGACAACAGGTCCCGGCTGAGGTTAAAAATAAAAANGATATTAAATTTATAATTTTTAATAATTACATTATAAGTTATTTACTTTTATGTTAAATTTACTATATTCGTGCCTACCAATGGCGGAATGCGTTGATGAGGAGCAAACTCGGAATACGGGTTCATGGATTTGTTCTTCATCAATGGGCTGGCATGTGGAATTTTCGGGGTTTTCTATGCGTGTCTTGCACACGTTACCAGTTCCTCGTAGCGTCACGAGTTAGCACCTCATCAACAGGCTGGCAAGTGGATTTTTCCTGGTTTTCTCCACGTGTTTAACAGCTAAATAAGTGACAATTCCCACAAGAGTCACGGATTCGTGCCTCGCCAACGGGATGGCACTTGGAATTTTCGGGATTTTTACACATATATAGTGCAAGTCTCGTGACTCTACAAGAACTGGCTCTTATTTAAATAGGGGCCAGTTCTTGTAGAGTCACGAGTTAGCACTTTACCAATGGGCTGGCACGTGGATTTTACAAATTTTCTTCATATGTTCAACAGCTAAATAAGGGTCATTTCTTACAGATGGTTACGAGTTGGCACTTCACCAACGGTCTGATACGCGGCGTTTTCCGGTTTTCTTGGCGTGTCTAACAGTTAAATAGGGGACAGGTTCCCCAATAGAAAGTCCTCCCAGCATACAACCCTCTTCGGCAAATTGCTCGTGTGTCGCGTTACCTTATTCACCAATCCAATTCACATTCAGGATTTTCAATACCGAAACTTCACGAATGTTCGGATTTTGCTGCAACTGCACGAACTTATCACTTTATGAAAGATAAATAATGTACTTTTCTCTTCTTGTAGACTGCTACTGGGTGGATTTTGTAACACCACAAGCGTGCATTATGGAGTCAGGACAAACCACGATCCCACTCACAATGTTAGGATCATATTCCCAGAAGAATCAACCGATGCTGTCATTTACGTCACGGTAAGGATACAGGGTGGCCTAAAAGTCAGTTAACACAGTTTATGCGGAAATAAACCGAGAGTTTAAAATGAGTTTTTTTCTCTTACAAAATTCGAGGAAAGAGATTAATTATTTAGGCCTCATAATGGTTAACTGACTTTTAGACCAACCTATATATATATTTAGCTTCCTTAACAATTTACAACTAATGGCTCTTAGAAAGAAGGTTCTGGTAGAAGAAAGAGAACAAAAATAGGAGATTCAATCAGAGTTATCGAAACGAAGTAGATATTTTTGGTAGACTTTTGATAGCGGGTTAATGAGATTTGGTAGGATATAGTCTCTGGAGGACGTGCCTTTGACGCACTCGATGTGACAACTTGGATTACATTGGCGAAATTACAGAGCGGAATTCTTCTACGACTGTTTAATTATTACCTTCGAGTAATTGGAGAGTTGTTTTCGACTTTTCCTCCATCTTATCTTTCTCCTTCGCTCGATTTTCCTATCGAAATGGCATCAATGCGATAAGAAAAAAAAAACAAAAATAAAATTGTATTTTTTTAAATGTAATTTTCAGGAATCTGCTTTTACATTTTGCATTTTTGTGAAATTTCATTAATTAAAAATCCATAAATATTTAAATATTTACACTAAAACCTGTGTAAACCGGAACCGCGCTCTATCGAATATTTCTTCCGGTTTGGCAGGTTTCCGTTTTAAACGAGTTTTTTTAAACATAAAAAATTGATCCGTTCAGAAGAATTATTTCGTTTAGGCAGGTTCCGTTTTAGACAGGTTTTTACCGTATATTATTATAGTTTCTCTGCGTGAATTTATGTAAATTGCTGGTGTTTCCTTCCCAGTTAAAACAGCTTAGAAAATGGTTATGACGTAAATTTCTGGTGGTATCGAATTAATTTTCAAGAAAATTCCGAAAATTATCTGAAAATATTTTCAAATTATTCATCTAAATTACATTCCACGTCGTTTATAAACGCAAAACGTTTTTAACCACGTAACATGATTGAGTTTATTCCCTATATGGGTCATGATTGAGTTTATGGGTCTTTCAATAAGATATATATAGGATTCTTGTAAAGCCTACAGGAGTCTCACAACTACAGTAAGCAATAAGCTTTCGTGCTCTGAAATGTTCCTTTGTAAAGACTTATAGAGCTCTATCCTATACAGGATCCTTGTAAGACTTATGTAGCAGTCTTACACGATAAAAGTGGGGCTACAGTAAAACCTGTTTAAAACGGAAAGGTGCCTAGCAAGAAGAATAATCGGTATCGTGTGAGTCTGGTTTACACAGGTTACACTGTATATAGTTCTTACAGTTGACTGCAGCTCCTACTCACGCTGTTCTCCCACTGTATTAGATATACAGAAAAATCTAATAACCCTATAAAATACTATGCGTTTTAATAAGTTGTATAATTAGTTACTTCGTTAAAAAGTAAAAGATTTTATTACTTCAATTACTTTAATAGTTTTATTTTCATCTCTAGTTATAATTAGAAAGACCACTTTAAACACGTGTCATTAGAGTGATACACACTCGAAATCAATGGCCATTATCGAGCATTCATCACTAAAACTTAACATAAATTGCCATTCAACAACTGAAAATGGGTCGTGAAACGAATCGGAACTCCATATAATTTGAATAATCGGCCATTTCTGAAAACTGAAATAAATTTCAATGTCTCGTGTATGATTATTGGGTATGTTTATGTGTTTTGAGTGGCACAAAATCGAGATGAAGTACCAGGAATATTCAAGAATCGTAAAAGAGAGGTTTCTTTCCATGTTTATCATGGATTCGGCTAGGCCCACGTTGGGACTTGGATATGCCAGGCCCCTATATAAGTTTGACCTGCATTGGGGGTCCGACATACCAGACGGAACATCCCCGAAAAACTTAAACGTATTTCGATCCTCCCGCTGCAATAGGATGTCACTTTAATCCCGGATATGCGAGACGGAGCAACCCATCCCTAATTCCACCATCATGGGCCCATCTTGGACCTTATCAAACCTACAATGGGCTTGTACAGTACAAAATACCCTTTCAGTGCCCACGGGCAGAAAGAGTTATTAAAAAACGTGTAAGGTATATCGAAAAAATAATTTAAAACTTATTGAATCGATATGTAAAAATTAAAAAAAAAATGTTAAATTAAATTTTAAGTTCGGTTGCCACAGAATCAATTAATCAGAAAATGTAGCTTTCACCCTCATTTGGTTAAATTAAAAAATGAAATTTTTAAGTGTCTAGACCAAAAGACCTGAGGGCTTTTCATAAGTTTTTCCAACTTTTTCTTGCCTCCATCCAATTTTATTGGTTTAATTACCTCTCTCCCAAGGACAAAATACAATAATAATAATAATTTCTTAAATTAACAGTAAATTTCCGCTTTATATAATAGAATATATGAGATGAAAGACAACAAAGTCTTCATTTTAGGAGGAGGCCCGGATCTTCAGACCAAATAGGATGACACTCTAACCGCTTGCCTTGCAACGAACTACTTGAAAACTTTTAAAAGACTTTGTAAAAAAATTTTTACAGTTTTTACAGTAATTTTTATATGTATATTAATTAAATTTATTATTTTTCTACCTTTTACACGTTTACCTGCTGTTTTCCTTAAAGGAAATTATTCTGGGCTAGGTTGTCAAATCTTCTTGTGAATGCTACTGTAAATCAGCTTAATTTAATTAAATAATGTAAATTAAACTAGGTTCCGAATCCTAGACCAAGGCAATCGTCGATAAATATTTGTACACGTGCGAGGCCCTAAAAGCACGTGGCTCTTGATAGAAGCGCAGACAGAAGGATACCTGATCGATTAAGGAATTGTGCCAACCTATCGCTCTGGGGGTCCCGGGATCAAATCTGGACCGTTCAAAAAACCCAGGAAGTTTTCGGGAGGTGGTCTGTCTGGATACGTTGGGCTCCATCTTTCATCAAGCGACAGTCCAATTGTGGGCCCGGAAGAACCCATAATGGTCTTGCTAAAGGTAAAAGGAGTAAAGGAAAAGGGCCCACAGGGGTAAAGCACTTTAAAAAAAGGCAAAAACATAAGTTATAGCAACTTAGACTTTATTTTGGCCAAGAAACGGATTAAACTGCCTAAATAATCCCTATGCTAAAACATTTACTGGACTTTTAAACATCAAACAAGTGATTCAACGGCAAAACTCTAGGGAAAAATACTGGAAGTAAGGGATATTAGGAAACAAATCCCTTATTTTCAGAATTTTCCCTAGAAACAGCAGCAAAATACCCCAATTCGTTTTTCTTCTCGTTGCATCGAAGCAACCAAAAAAAAAAATTCGATTGTACAGAGTTTTATTTATCTGAAAAAAGGTTTAAGCAATTTTTAAAGCTTTCAGCTCTTTTATTAACAGGTGGTGGTTGTATTTTACGCAGCAATTATTCTTATCTTGGTCGGTACCAACATCAAAAGGTTCAAGAAGAGGAACGACGACGAATGTAATGGCAAAGGAAAACGTCACTTGGTAGTTTATGTGGATAACAAGGAGCGCATCGTCCAACAGACAAACAACAACGGTAACTTGGACCCTGGAGGAAACAACATGGCTACTACCTTGTGATACCAACACCGCGTGATGGAAATTATTTATATTTTAGTACAGGATGAAATAGTTATAAACGAGAGGTTGGAATTTTCACAAAACAAAGAACGAAAAAAAAAAAATAAAGATAAAAAACATTTTCTACGCTAACATTTCCATTCCTATGTTAAATTACTAAACCATTCCTTATATTTTGTTTATTGTAATTGGGTATTAAAACATAAAAAAAAATTCTGTGTGTATCAACCAATACAATCCTGCAAATCAGTGTAACGTGTTTCAAGCTTGTAACCGAACCATTAATTTCAAATTTAAATTAACCAATCGGCTGTAAGTTTCGGTGACGTTTGAATCAGGCGCATTCTGTGATTGGTAGCGAATTATTCCGGAACTCGCAACTGATTGGATAATTTAAAATTTTGTATTTTCAATTTTTTTTTTTTAAGTAATGACCTTTGAATGACTACCGTTATGTTACTTACGGTTATATTAAATAAAACATATCACAAAAGAGAAAATATTTGGATTATTCTGTAAATTTAAAATGCAAATTGTAGATAAATATAAATATATATCGTTGAAATATTAATAAATATTTTCTAGACTCGTCTCCGTTTATTCCGTTGTCTGATAATTAAATTTAAACTTAATAAAAGGAGAAATTTCATTTTGTAAATTGTTAGCCTAAACAATTGATAAATACAACGTAACAACAGAGCCTCTTAGAGTTAAAGAGAGGCGTAAATCAGAGCTGAATTTATACAGTACATAAACTAAACGGACTACAGATTAGGGCCTCGAGCTACGAAAGGCCTCCCTACTCTCAAAGCAGTTAATTACTTGAAGAAGTATCTTAATATACAAGAACTGCAAATGAATGAAGTTTTTGAGGCCTCACTAAACAAGACACAGATTAAATGATCCTGTCATTCCCACTTTTATGACGATCAAAATGTTATTTATATTACAGTAGAGCAGGCCCTATTACAGAAGGCCTTGCTGATGCTTCGCATAAAGTAGACCTATATTATGGGAAGACTGTATCTGCAGACCCTTCGATTATGGCTGGAGCAGTCACCTTTTTAGAGGCCTCATTTCACTGCTTGTTACAAATTATTTTGTTCTGTACTTCTCTCTGTTTAAGGCCACTAAGAAATTGAACCCGGAACTTAAAAAGTACTTAAAACGGGCCTGTTCAAAAGACCTTAAATAAAATCTATACTTGTTAATTATCATTATTCCTATAAAAAATCCTTCTTTTGTAAGAGGCATTTTACTAACTTAGCATTTAAGAAAAATAAAATACAATCGCTTTATATTATTGATTCAAATAAGAGAAATGTATTTGATTGCACGAATTTCATTTCGATGAATGCACACGAAAGCTTAAAACTTCAATATTTAAATAAATAAATAAAACAAAAAAATGTATATAAAAGATATAACTTATTCTATTTTAGAACATAAAATCTAGAAATTCGCAATAAAAAAACATTTAAAAAAAGATCAAGAAGAGGAGAAGAAGAAAGGGAGTGAGTAGCTGCGAATCTCCTTTCTAAAATTACATTATCATTTACAGCATCAATTTACATCATCATTTTAAAAATTAATATCATTTCTCTCTCCATTTTAAAATTTTTCTTCTCTTACTTACAATTTAATTACTGAATTTAAATTCAGTGCGGTGATAATAATAAAGATCGTGTGTTCGGAGCTCTCTAAGGATAGAACTACTAGCTAAACCTCAACCAAATTTGCTGTACAGTACATACTGTCCCAAGTATGCTGTTTTGATATTCCGGTAAAACAGTTTTTACTTCGAAATTCGGCCGCTAGGGTAAGATTTACGCTGCCATCTCGGTAACGACTTTTGGGATAAAATGCAATAACAGGTGCGATTACAATGGTGTCGAGCTGGCATTGCTGTCTCGTTAGTAATATGTGCATACGTACAGTAGAGCAAGTAATGTGCACATTAAGGTGACAGCGGCGCCAAATTTCACTCTAGCGATTAAATTTTTAAGTAAAACCGTTTACAAAGATCAAAACCGCGTACTCATGACGGTATGTGTAACAAATGTGGTAGTTCTTTCTATAGTGCTCTCTGAACACTGCTCTTTAATCAACCTGAACATTAAGGCCTTGTAAGCACAAATTCTTCATTAAATTGAAAAGAAAAGGAATTGTGATCAATTCTCACTACAGATTAAGTTTTTTTTCTTCCTCCTCTTACTCTTCCACTTCTTCCTGTCCCTCCTCTTATTCTTCTGTTCATTTTTCTTCCTCTCCCTTCTTCTATTATTCTTCTCCTTTTCATCTTAAAGGAATTTAACGCCGTATAATGCATAATTTTCGAGAAAAGTAACGCATTTAAGCATCATATGTAACGCTAGAAACGTTCTATTTTTTTTCTAAATACCTCGATATAACGAAACAGTAACAATCATAATAATATAATTTACCATTGTAGCCCCTATACAATCATACCATTTACACGTCATCGACTCCCACTTACAGAAAGAAACTAAAGGGGAATTGCAAATGTTCTATAAGTCACACAGAATTTAGGAATTTAATTTCGAAGCGTTTACATTAGTTGCTTCGAACGTAATAAAAGGAAGAAAAGGATCTTAGAGAAGGAGTGAATAGAAAGTTCTGTGTATAAGGGGGTGTTTGAAATATCGTAGATAACCATTCAAAGTGCGCAATCAAATATTTACTTTAGCAGACACCTGTCTCAGGTGTGACGTAAGGTGAAGAAAAGAGCCGTCCTCTCGCGCTATTAAGCTATCCCGTTGCAGACAATGCACGCTTCCTCCCTCTTTGATCGGTTGTCACGGTAACGGGATACCGTTCCATTATCGCTACTTAACCTCGGATACGATTCGAAATGACGTTCCCTTTTATTCTGTGTGTTAACTTTCGCTTTTCTATACACACGAATAAATTTTAAAAAACATCACTCCATTAATTTTCGTTGATGTTGAGGGAAAATGTAATTAGCTCTTGTATTTTTTTCTCTGTTTTTCTTAACAATATTATGTACTTAAAACGCATTTTAAAGCGTTTTTTATGTGTTAAATTGCCTTAAAATGTGATACTTAAACCGAATTTTTATTGTTTTCTATTGTTTCTTGGCGCGTGAGGGACGTCCGAAACACGAACATTTATTGTGTTTTCACGTGAGCACCATAAATTCATGTAAATTATTGAATTTTTAATTAAATAATTTGCACGTGCCCACGTATTTTCTACACTTTCGTGTGGCCAAACGTTTTTGCTGTTATGTTTGCTAACTTGTACTGTGATGTAAACACTTCGAGTACAAATATCCGCCTTCTAATCTTGTTATTCTCATGTACACATTCTCAGTAGTTCGACTATTTAAGCAGTTATTTACTAGGTGTTATGGAGATTATACCAGCATAATTTACTGTTTATTGGCACCTGTTTGTGGGTCCTACGTAATTTGGCCCTACAAACGTGTGCATCGATCGGTGCAAACTAACAGGTTTAGTGTAATAAAAAATGTAAAGCAGTTCGTACGAGCGGGGAAAGTGAATACTTTTTACGTCAGTTCGACGTCATTCTTTATACAGTGGAACCTCGGTATACGTCTGCTTTAGAATACGTCCAATTCGGAATACATCCTGTTTAGACGAAACAAATTTTGCTCGGTATACGACTTTTGTTCGGTATACGACTTAATTCAATTATACGCGCCATCTATGAACAAGTAGCACTATCGGTGTATTATACCAGACTAGACGTTCACTGTGCCACAATTTATAACTTTGTTAAATTTCTTCTGATTTTAATTTGTAAGTAAAATGTTATTATTTTTATTAATCATGAATTGCAAAAAGGCAACAGAAAAAAATGACTAAAATCACAATGGAACTGAAAAAAAAGAGATTGTTGAGAAATATGAAGGTGGCACGCGTGTTCGAGATTTAACTGTTGCATACCGTATTCCGAGAACGACGATATCGACAATCGTGAAAAATAAAGACATTATTAAATTTGCTAANTTCTAAACATGGCTATTGACCCGGAATGTCGCGGACCTCCGGGACGAGGTAAAGAAGGCCCGTTAAGTTTCTTAGCGGGTTCCTTTTGCCGTTTTTTTTAACATCTGAAATGCACAGAATGTTTCATTATTAATAAATATCAATCTCAAAGATTGTATCTTTTGTTAATGAAAATAATATTAATTTATAGGAGTATACTCCAAACTTTTCACCGGGCTCGTAGAGTTAGGAACGGATCCGGAGGTGATTTAGGAGTAGGAACCTTATTGGCTCGTAGCGATTCCTACCTCTAAGTGCCCATATCTCCGCTCTCGAAAGCCCCGAGTATGAATAAATGAAAAAATTCGTCTGTTTGTTCACAGAACAGCTTACATAATCAACATAGAATTTTCAAAGTGGCTATTAATGGAGAGGAGAGATTAGGGAGAGAAATTCTTCCCCACTAACTATAAAAACAAAATTAAACATAAGGAGTAGAGAAAAATTCTAACTTTTCCTGAAGTGTTTCTCGTATAAATATTGAGAAAATTAAAAACATCAACCGGATGTAGGTCTATAAGACTGTCTGCAAAATAACAAATACAATTTTTTTAAAAATTATACCAAAAAGTTACGAAAATTCATTCACGTAATCACATAAAATTTTAAAAAATTATTATTTACTTCCATCGGGAAGATATTCTAAAACATAATAATAATATAGTAAAGAAGCATTCATGAAACAGAGTTTCTATATTATAAAATACAATCCTGGTTAATGCCATTAGATCATCAGTAGTGTCATATCACGTAAATCTTGGTTTCTTTCTCTAGCTGAGTATGTGGTTTATACATCTAGATTCCAATTTTGAGTTACTATCAAAAGTAGCCCTGCAGGTTTATATTTCTTTCATATTTAACAAATAGCCTAGATGTTTATATTGAAGAATAAATAGAATGCTCATATTATTTAGTATTGCAAGTGTAAATCCCATTATTACAGATTTAGTACTGAAGGGAATCCCCATATTGTAGATTTAGTTCTTTAAGTGTAATCACTTTAAATATTTAGTACTGTAAATGGAATCATATTGTATACAGTAGACCCCCTATAACACTGTTGATAATTCCGTGTTATATAAATTCCATGTTGTTCGAGTCACTTAGATTCCATGTTGTCCTCCGTGTTATATGTTCATATAACACGGAGTGTTATATGTTCATATATGTTGATATATGAACATATATATATCAATATATATTCATATTGATATATATTGATATATATTCAGTGTTATGAATATATATCAATATATATTGATATATGTTCATAACACTGTTGATATATGTTCATATAACACGGAGTGTTATATTAACATATATCAACAGTGTTATAGGGAGGTCTACTGTATTTATAGTAAGTAGAATCTTTATATTATAGAGTGAGTGGAATATCTATATTAAATATTTAACTCTGTATTAAACATCGAATCTCTACAGTTGGCCTACAGTCGGTTAGTCAAGACAATTAAGGCGATATTTCAGGGAGCCCGGAAATCAAATCCTGGCAGGTCGAAATACCCTAAGAATTT